AGCCCGGTCACGTCCTTCCGTAGGCGTGGAGCCGGCTGGCGACTGTCAACGCCTACTCCGGCGCCGTCCACCCGCTCGTCCACCTCCACCCTCGCACAGGCCGCAGGACGCTCTTTGTCCACCTCGGCCAGACGGGCGGGCCGCCCCAGAGAGAAGGGGCCGCCGGCGAGCCGCCCGGAGAGGGGAGGAACCCTGTTTGGGGGCGAGCGTAGGCGCCGTCGTGCGCTGGCCGACCGCCCCATCGCTCCCGGCGCCGCCCCTCGAGGCGATGGACCCGGCCGTCGCGCCGAGCGCCGCGCTCGGACACCGGCTGCTGGGCCGCGGGGCGGTGCGCCGGCTCGCGGGGCAGCTGGAGGCGCTGCTCTCGTCGGCAGCGCCCGCACCGCAGCTGATGACCTCGCCGGACGAGCGCGCGCCTCCTCACGCCTCCTCGCGGCGGAGAGCAGGCGCCGCACCGCGCGCACCACACCTACCGCCGGCACGACCTGCTCCTCCTCGACAACCTCGCAGTGTCGCACCGCGCGGCGAGCGGCGCGCACGACGCGTCCGCCGCGGCCGGCCTGCGCGTGCTCCACCGCACCACGCTGCGAGGCAGGCACTCGCTCGACCCGCCGCCCGAGTCCGGGCTCGCGCCCTTCGCGTACATCTGGGGCGCGTGCCCCGCCGGCTTGGGCGCGCGCGGCGGCGTGTGGCAGGCGTCCGACCACTGGGGCGTGGGTTTCCGCTGGAACGGGACGGCGCCCATGCGGAATTGAGTCGGCGCGACGCAAGTCATAATCATTCCCCAGAGGGGGATCATACAAGATCCCTTCAAGGCAAAAGACGGAGATTTGCGGGATGTGATAGATCTCACTATAGAATCCGACAACGACGGGCAGCGAGAGCTGCAGCATGGCCGGAGGAAGGTGTATGGGGGTGAGTGAGTGAGTACACATGTATGGGGGTACAACTGTATGGGGTATGGGGGTCTGGGGGTACATAGTGGGCACCATTGAGGTCAACATGCCGCTTTCGCGCAGCGCGGGGATGCTGCTGCTGCCCGTCGGCTGCTTCTGCAGCGCCTCTGGCTTGCTGTTGATGAAGGCGGCCGGCGACAGCCGACCGGACCTCCCACCGTGGCGGAATCCAAAGTGGATTGCGGGGTTCGTGCTGCTCGGCATCCTTGCAACAGTCGTCGAGGTGGCGGTCCTCGGGGTCCTGCCGCTCTCGGTCGTCGCGCCCTTCGCTGGCCTGACCATCGCGTTCTCGTTGCTCCTGGCTGCCAGCGGCCTGCTCACCTCTCCAGCAGAGAGGCTGGAGCGCGCGGACCTCGCGTGCATCGCTTTGGTTCTGCTGGGCGTGACTCTCGTATCCACATTCGGCCCGCACGAGGAGAGCGCGCCTTCGCTGCCCGCACTCCTGGCGGCGTATACGCGCCCGCGCTTTGCGCTCTTTGCTGCCGCTGCCTTGATCACCGCGGCTCTCGTTCTCTCCAAGAGCGTCTGCGGAGTCAGCGACAAGTCCTCGGTGTTGCCGCTGATCTCCGCCTTCGCCGCGGCGGCCACTGGCTGCATCTCCCAACTGATGCTTAAGGTCGTCTCGACCACCGCCTCTGCCTTCCCCGCGACTGCCGTGCCACTCGCGCTGGCGCTCCTCGGCCTCTGCGTCTCGGCGCCGCTGCACCTGACCCTCCTCAACCGTACTCTCGTCGGTGCGGCTGTGGCGCTCGCCGTGCCGGCCTACCAGTTCTTGCTCATCGTGTGCACCACGTCGGCCGGCGGCATCCTGCTCGACGAGTTTGAGTCTCTGTCTTCGGGGGACCTCTGGGCATACGCGTGCGGGGTGGTCACTGCGACGGTCGGGCTCGTCGGTCTCTCGTACTTCAGCTCGGTCGGCGCGGAGCCGGGGGGTGACGAGGAGGGCAGCAGCGATGAGAGCGACAAGGCTGCTCTCGAGCTAGAGCGCGGAGCGGAGGGCGGGAGTGGCCATTCGGGAAGTACGTCGAGCGACGCCGCCGAGTCGGCCACGAGCTTGCCGCCCCGCCCCATGCTCTCGCAGCTGCGAGGAGATCGCACCCAGGGGTCTATTCTGAGGGGCCGGCTGAGCCGCAAGTCGCTGACGTCGGGAAGGCACTCGCTCGTGGTCGGCTCGTTCGGTGCTGGCCTCGGCTCCGTCGCAGCGATCTCCGACTTGCGCCTCAGCCTAAGCCCCAAGCTTTCCCAGTCGCGCCCAAACACGTGGAGCACGGGCCTCTCGATCGATGCTGTGAGCGACGTAGACACGCCCTATCTGGAGAGAACCGTGTCAAGCCATCGCAGCACCACGCGGTCCGCACGTACCGCCCACATCCCCTCCACCGCTGAGAAGGCGCAGATCGACCGTCGGGCCGCGTAGTCGTCGTTAAGGAGCGGTTTTTGGAGCCGTACGAAGAGGTCCCAGACGGGCGAACATGCGGTTTTTCGATGACCACGCGCGATGTGGTATCTTCTTTTTGCTAAAAACGGGCCGCCTAGTGCAACATCACTAGTACAACACGTAACCACACTTAGAGCTCCACAGTAGATGTTTTTGACGAGCGCCGACGGCGTCACGGTCGCCGGAGTGGACGCACTGCACACACACTGTGACCGTGTCGTGGGTGTGACAGTGCGCGACACAACCGTCGGCGCCGCGCTATCGCGGCGCCCCGCAGTCTACACACCGCAGGCGCACCCCTGAAGGCGCCATGAGCGCGCAGGCACATAGCAGCGCCGCGCCAAAAGGTCATTCCCTCTTTGGTCCGCTCACCTGCAAAGGGCAAAAAGGTGTAGTTTGTGACGATCAGTGCTGGCGGAGGCCTCATCGCCGCGAATGTTGCCAGTCACGGCGGGATCTGACGTCGCGTTCGAGGTGTGCATTGGCGGAGGGGTCGCAGGGCTGAGAGAGGCAGAGGCAGCAGGCGGGTGGTGGGGCGGCACCTGTTGCTGCCATGGGCAGCGCCGAGCCGCGGCGGAGGTCGCTCCGTAGTTCTGCGTTGAGCCGCACGAGTGCGTCGACCCGTCGCGAGGTGCCTGCGCGGGGGTGATGTCGCGCCGATAGCTGAGTAGGGATCCCTACGCGCGGCGTGAGCGGGCTTTGCGCGAAGGGGCGGCGCGAGAAGGCGAGCCGACGGGCACGCCGGTGTTCGGGCACCGCGCGCGGCGGCTGCAGCGAGCCGGCGGCTGGCGCGGCGAAGGCGGGCAGCGTCGCGGGTGGCGCCACCGGCTCGAGGTGGGGTCCTGAGGTGGCTTCAGCCTGGTCCGCTCGAGCGGCACGCCCGCCGCAGCCGCGAACAGCCACCTGTGGGCGGTCACCGGGGTGGCGGTCAAGCTCGCGACGGGGTGAATCTGGTGCGTCTAGTATCACTGGTGGGCTGGGTGTGCAGCAGCATCGCTCAAAAAGAGGCAAAAAACTCGACAGCTACTTTGAGTGTCAGCTCTCTCGACGCACCGTCCTCGGGCCCCTCGAAAAGCTGGCTGGTGGTCGCGCGAGGCGCGTCGGCGCCGCTCCAACTGGTGCGGCACCTCGGCTGGGTCCATCGGCACGAGGCCCGCCGCGTCGGGGAGCCCCGCGAGCGTATGTAGCCCCACCCCATACGCTTGACGCCCCGCCCCAGATCGCGCTGTTTGGTAGGAAAAGACGAGGCGCCAAGGGGGGGGGGGGGATCAGCGACGGCGTCTTAAAATTCTTGTGTTTTCCCCGCTCTCAAAGACGGCACTCACCTGTGATGCCTTTAGCCCGGCCTGTGACGCTGGCGCTGGTCGCGCGCTCGAGTGGCCTCTGCCTCAACATCACGGTCGACGGCGACGGCGAATGCTCGACGGCCGACGCGCGCGCGGACGCGACGCTCGCGGGCCGCTGGCAGCCGCGCGCGCCGTATTTCAGCGCCGCGGACCTCGCCGGCAACGCCACGGCGTCGCCGCCGTACGCGGGCGTCGGCGACGAGTGGCTCCGGACGGCGTGCGCCTTCCGCGAGCCTCCGCACGACTGCCGGACCCACTCGGCCGCGGCCGCGAACCGCAGCGCCGCGCTCGCGGCGCGGCGCGTGGAGCCGGTCGCGGGCTGCGCGCTGGGCGGCGCGCTCGCCGCGGCGCGCGGAAACGAGACGGCGGCGGTCCTCGCGGCGCTGCGGCGAGCGAGGCGCCTCACGTTCGCGGGCGACTCCATCTCGCGGCAGCACTTCATCGAGGTCGTGTGCAGCGTCATCGACGAGGTCACCGACGCGAAGCTCGTGTGGCGCAGCGTCAACGATACCTTTAGCAACTGCCCGTCGGACGCGAGCTACCGCAGCGAGCGCATCGCGTGGGCGTCGCCGCCCCGGGGGCACCGCTGCCAGATCGCGCGCGCGTCCGCGACGCTCCGGTCGGGCGGCAAGCTCGAGTACCTCGGCGACAGACCCGAATTCGGGCTCGACCAGCCGGGCGTCCACGTGATCAACGTCGGCATGCACCACGGCACGCGCGCCGAGCACGAGAGCGCCGTGAAGCGCGTCCTCGCGGCGATCGCCGCCGCCGCCCGCGAGGCGCGCGGCGCGAATCGCTCCGCGCCGCTCGTCGTGTGGCGGGAGACGACGCCCGCGCATTTCATGCGCCTCGGCCCCGACGACAACGGCTCGTGGAAGCGCCCGGACGACGCGGAGCAGGCTCGGCGCTGCGACGGGAAATCGACATACTGCTGCCGACCGCTCGACGCCGCGACCGCGGCGCGGCAGAACTGGCGCAATCGCGTGGCCAACCCCCTCCTCCGCGCGGCGGGCGTGCCCGTGTTCGCGACCTACGACGCGCTGGTGCCGCAGTGGGACGCGCACGTGAACTTCCCGCGGAGGAAGGACCGGTACCAGATCGACTGCGTGCACTTCTGCTCGCCGGGCGTGCTCAGCGATCTCTGGGTCGGCCCCTTCTTCCTGTGGCTCGGCCGATACCTGGCGGTGTCGGAGCGGTCCTAAGATGATATGTGTGTGTTTGGCCGCGAAGTTGAACGAATCCACCTATTTTGGATCACTGTTAGGACCTAGCGCGCGACACCACCTCGTCCTTCGGCGGCCCGTGGGCCCAGCTGGGGTTTTCGCCACTGACGACCACGAGGCCGATTCGATCCGATAATAATTTTTTCCACACCTGAGCGGGCCCAATTTTGCTCAGATGACCTCCGAAATTCGAAATCGTGTCCTCACGCTTTGCCTTGGTGTGCGTTCGTTTTTCGTCCCGGGTTGTATGCGCGGCGGTGGTGGGAATGGATATGGCGGCCGTGGCGGCTGTGGGGGAGGCTGGGGTGGAGACGGCGGCCGTGGTGGCGGCCAGGGTGGAGGAGGGGGCGGCAGCCAGGGTGGTGAGGGCGGCGGCGGCGAGGGCGGCGGCGGCGACGGATGCCGTATCGCCTCGAGGCCATCGGCAGTGGGAGCAGCGCGGGGCTGCAGCAGCTTGGCGGCGTCGGCGCGGCCGTACGCCGAGCGAGCGTAGGCGGTGGCCGCCTCTTCGGCGGTGTCGAAGGAGCCGAGATGGACACGCTTGCCGGCACCCTGCACCTCCGCCACGAACTTCTTGCTGCGGCGGCTGTAGCTCACATTCTTGTAGCCAGTCGTGCTGTTCTTGAGGGTTTCTGGGATCAGCACAACGCCCTCTGACGACGCGGTCCGCGGCGGGGCCATCATGCATTCATGCAACGCACGTAGATTCGCAAGTTTGACAATTGGGATTCGTATTGGAGTAAAACAAGGCTGCGAGTGGCCTGAACATTTGCCAGGCAATCATCTGTTTTGGCGAGCACAAAAAGAAAAATACGTAATGCGTAATGCGTATGCGTGATACGTAAGGGGGGGGGGGGGCTCGGGGGCGCGCGGGGCGAGATACATAATCCGGAAACGTGAGACGTGGTACGTAAGGCACCCGCCGCGCGGGCCATTGCACCGTCCCCGGGGCAAAGCTTTGCGGTGAAAAGGACGTATGCGTAATGCGGATACGTGATACGTCGAAGACGCCCCGCCCTCCGCGGGCCGCGGCGCACCGGCGGAGATCCATAATCCGTATACGTGACACGTGGTACGTATGAGGCAACCACAGGGCCATCGCACCGCCACGCACGCGATGATTACGTGTATGTATTGACGTTTTCTATTTATTTTTGAAGGGGGGGGCGTTCGACGGGCTGCGTAATGCGACGCATTTGGACTGGCAAGTGACGTACACGCACCGAGTTTACGTATTCCCGAGAGGGCGTAATGTGATGCGTATGCATATGGGCCTCCGTGCATATGCGTAGCAGTACAGAGCACGATTGGCCTTCGAAGCGACGATGGCACGACCACCGCCCTGCTTCCTGACCGGGCAAGGAGGGGCCTACTCCCGTTCCGCGAGGAACAGGAGGTCTCCCCCCCCTCCCCCGGCCTGGGCAGCGACGGGTGGACGGCAGCCCCTTCGAGGTTGGCAGGCGAGCCAGTTCAGTCTCAGCCACACGCCCCCCGCGTCTGTACTCCACCAAGTCAAGGTGAAAAGATCTTATCAGCCAGCCGGGCAGGGCAGGCGGGCAGGCAGGCGGGGTCAGGGAAGACTATTCCAAGACTCGCGAGAGATGCCACACGCCCCTCGCGCGAGGCAGTTCGCAGAGCACCTCCTACCCACGCGAGGTTAGCAGCCACCCCTCGCAAGACTAGGGGGCGGCCCCTCACACGACTGCCCAGTGGGCCCAGGGATGGCGGTGGCGAGTCACTCCGGAGCAGAATAGAGGTGCGCACGAGGCAGGTGGCACAGCACGGCCCACCCCCTTCCACCCCCCCTCGCCCTTCGCAGCCTCTCCCCCCTCCCCCTTCCCACTGCGCGGTACCTAGAATACCTATACCCAACTCCCCACGATAAACCAGTGAGACCCTTCCCGACCCCGCGAGCACACACCGCGTCTCCGAGACGATACAAACACCTCTCGAGCATGACAGCTGGCTCGCTGACGTCCTCGCTGCGCCCCTCCTCTGCAGGCGCACCGAGGAGTGGTGTCGAGCATCCACCACGCACACACCCACGCACACACATTCTGCCCAGCGAGACGCGCCGACGCATCGCTCTCGCCGACGCCAAGAAGCCGACGGCGCAGCACGCGGGGAATCAGGACCTCGTCGACGTCTTCTGGGTCCTCGCGGACGCCACCTTCAAGGCGGAGCCGGAGAACGCCGGCACCAAGGGCTCGGCTTACCGCAAGGCGGCGCAGGCGTTCGCCGCCTGCGCCTTTGCCGTCACCGCCGAGACGGTCAGTATCTCTGGGGAGAAGAAGCTCGCGAATGTCGGCAAGGCTCGCGAGGGACTAGCCTGGCCCTTGCCCCGCCACCTCGTGTGTGTGGAGAAGTTTACCTTCCCTTCCCTTACCTTAAGGCGTCCTTCGAAAAGATGGCCGCCTTCCGAGCGACGGGCTCCATCCCGAAGCTTGTGGCGTACCAGGCGACGCTCGACGGTGCGGACAGTTCAACAACGCCGACAGCGCAGGTCGCGAGTGCGCCGCCGGCAGCGCAGCCGACAGCGCCGCCGGCACGGCCGACAGAGTCTGCAGCGTCGGCAGCGCAGCCCGCAGCGCCGGCAGGGCAGCGGGGTGCGGGCAGTGCGCCGCCCACGGTTCCCCTTGCACCTGGCGCGACTCGAGTCTGGCTCGGCACCGCGCCGGCGCGCGGCAGGCGACCGTCCTGCTCCTAGACGCGGAACACGTATTCTTCTCTCCCAACCAGCACTCGAGAGGACGAGGGAACACGTACTCCGCTGTATTCCGCTGCATCCCACTGTCCTCCCCTCCGTTGTCTCCACGCGGTGCTCTGAATACGCTGCACGAGACCGTCTCCCCGCCCCGAGGTATGCGTATTCAACACGTAAGCCGACCATCGCAGACACGTGCCGAGATTACCCGAGATCACCCGAGATTACCCGAGATTACCCGAGATTACCCGAGATTACCCGAAGCTGGTAGGCCGACCATCGCAGACATGTGCCGCTTCTGCGTCGCGCGCCGGCGGCTCTGCGCGTACTGCGACCAGCACAACGCCAACGAGCGGGAGGGTCGCATTGTCCACGCCATCCCCCTCGGAGGGCTGGGCTGCGGTGTCTGCGGCGAGTGCGAAGACTGCCGGGCCGCATCAGTCGTGCCGGGCGAGCGTGCTGTGTACGTGTCTCCGCTCCTGCTCAAGGGCAGGGGGGGAGGGAGTGACTTGCCCCACCACCCTCGCTGCTTTGCGGAGCACATGATGGTGGACTATTCGCCCCGCGGGCCCGCCGAGGGCAGTCTCAGACTGGTCGCCATCTCGCTCAAGCACAACGGCGAGGTGCAGCAGTAGATGTGCCGCTTTGTTGTGCGGCAGGCTAGAGGCAGAAGTCGTGCTCTTGTCTCGCCAACCAGCGCTCGAGAGGCCGCGTATTCAACTGTGTTCCGCTGCACTGTATTCACTGTCTTCCTGTCCGTTGTCTTCACGCGGTGCTCTGAATACGCTGCACAAGACCGTCTTCCCGCCCTGAGGTATGCGTATTGAGCGCGCAGGTGCAGCAGGCCGCGTGTGTGCCTCTGCTGGAGGCGCGCACCTTCCTTGCGTCTCTGTGGGCTGCCTGCGCCGCCGACGGCCGCCCCCTGCTGGGCGAGGAGGGGCCCTGGAGAGAGGACGGCCCTTTGGCGGCGTCTCTGTTTGGCGACCGCGCCATCGTTGCGCCGGCGCAGCGCGCGTGGGCCATCGACGCTCTCGAGGGGGCTGCGGCGCCCGCCTCGCCGCCGCCCGCGGCAGGACGGGGCTGGGCGAAGCGCGACTGGACGAGATTCGTGGCGGAGGAGAGGGACGGCCCGCTGTCGCCGGCCGGGAGGCACGGGCAGATGAAACGCGCCGCGTCGCGCGACCTCTTCCCGAAGTACTACCCGATTCACTGCCCCGGCGGGGCGTGCGGCAGCGGCCGTGGCGCCACGGCCGCACGGGCCGACCGCGGTCTCCGCCAGCCGACGCTATCCTTTTCCGTCATGTCGTGATCTTCTCACCGATCGATCACCGACGGATCGGCGTCGTTGTGGCATGCGTGGCGCGGCGCGCCCCGCGGCCGCGCGGCCCCTGGGATACGTTGTCACGTACGTCTACGTGGTTCAGGTAGCTGAAATAGGGTATTGTGTACACCTCTCGGCTATCATGGGCCAAGTGTCGTTGTGAGACTCTTTTCATTTCATTGTTTTCATAGGTTGACGCACACTGACGTGATGTGCATCAGCTCTCGCACGAGCAGCTCGACTAGCAGGTGGCCGTCGGCCTTGTCGTAAAACCACTCGTTCTCCGCGTCCCAGTCGTAGTAGCGCGGGCCGATCAGAGGCGAGAAGAGCAGCACGCGCCCGTCCGGCAGCGCCTCCAGCCCGTACTGCCCCTTCTCACCGAGTTCGAGCAGGATCTTGCCGTCGGCGTCGAGCGACGGCTCAAAGGTCTCCGACGGCGTGGCGACGGCCGCCGCCTCCTTGGCATCGACCAGCGCAGCGTAGATGGTGTCGATGCAACGCTGTGCGGGAGGTCGAGCCGCGGCGCAGAAGCAGCGCTCGGCAGGCATGCGCGGGCGGAGAAGCAGCGGTGGCGGCAGTTTAAATGCGGCGGCGGATCGCTGCAACGAGCTTGCTATTCGTCGCGGCAGTGCGTACGAGCGGAGTGAGCAGCGATGGGCGCTGGTGCGAAGGTGAGAGCGCAGCCGATGTGCATGCATGTGTCAGGAGATAGCGGCCGCGACTCTCTCGAGGTCTCTGGCCCGGTGGTGGGTTCCTGCTCGTAAAAAGAAACCACGGTCCAGAGAGGTTCCTCCCCTCAGCGTTGCGTTTTTTCTCAACCCGCGTGCCTCTGCACATCCGTTCACGTGCACGGAGCTTCTTGAGCCACCCACCCACCCACCCACCTAGCGGCGAGTGCAGCGGCAACACCTTCATCGACGACGAGGTGCTCACACAGAGGGCCGGCATGAGCGAGGCGGATCTCGACAAATACCGCGTCTCGCGACTCGTGCCGCTCATGCCCGACTTCTACGTGGGCGACCCGGTGGCGCTGGAGAAGTACGTCGACGGCGCGCGAAAGATGCAGGGGATGGTCGGCGCATTCACGTCCGCCTTCAAAAAAGTAGATAGGCGAGCCGTTGTCGATCTGTTTAGAGTGCATAGAAAAGCATGTAAAGCTAAAAAGCAATCCCCCGAACCCCGTAAGATACGTGTTCCTTCGTGGGCGCGTCTTCACACCTCACACTAAGGTTGCGCAGCCTCCAAAATCCACGCAATCGCTTTCCGAAAGCTCGCCGATCCCTGCGGCTGCGCGCTGCGGTGAGCGCTGTGTGGTCGCCGCAGACTGGCTCCCCAACTTGACGGCAGCATGGAGACGTGTGATGCCTCCCACCATGCGCCATGGCCACGGCCGATGCTGCCGTCAAGTCATCGACGTGCGAGGCTCAGATTTACATTAGTTAGGACGCTGCGCACCCCCTCTACTCATTAGTGCTGCGTGCGCAGCGCCAGCGGCCAGCGCCGCACCGCCAGAGTCCGCCGGCGTGACACGGCGTGTCGTCTTTGAGGGACGGCGTAACTTTTAGAGAAGAGACTCTTAACTTTTATGTGCGTGAGAGTACGTACGCTGTCTCGATACCGACGACTACATCTTCATTGACTCCCCTGTGCGCCTGATACTACCTGATACTACCTTGCGCTTTTGTGCATGGGATTCTGTATATTTGAACGCAAGGCGTGTCTTTCAGTTGCTCGATTCCTCCTGCGTCCGTCTTGTAGGTGCTCCCACCACCTATTTTGCCAGTGGGTGACGTAGAGCCCGGGAATGGGCTCTTTGGGAGCCTTCGCCTCTTCGAGCAGTTGCCCAAGATAGCTGGGCGTGATCTTGGAGAAGTTGTGTGGGAGGCGCACCACTGGAAAGCCGTCAAACAGCCGCTGGTCCATCCAGGGCAGCACCACCACCACGGGAATGCTGCCCATGGCCAGAGTTTCCCACGTGCGGAACGCGTCGTACCCCACGCCAGGCGGAGACAGCACAAATCGGTGCTCGCCGGTTCTTCTGGAGGACCTGCTCAAACTTGACACGTTCGAACACCGGATCAACGAGGGCCGCAAACTCCGCGGAGCTCAGGTGCTTCAGCAGCTTCAAGCGAGTGGGCTTTATGGATGGCCCACCAGGAGAGTGGACACGAGCCTCACCTGCGTACATCAGCACCTTTGAGGAGCGGCCAGACCAGGCTCGAACACGACACGGTTGTAAGGGGCCCAGTGATGCGACGCTAGCCCCAGTGGCATTGGATAGAAGACATCTGGACGCGCAGTGTGTGCCAAGTTGTTTGTATAGCACGCTTGCATATTCGGCAACCACTTCATGAGCTTGTCCTGAGTGCTACCATGGAGCTGGCCATCGGCATTGACAAAGATCAGCACAAATTGTACGGTGCCCGGGTGGAAGGCGAGGCTTTGCAGACGCTCAAACAGCTGCGGCTCGCACATCTCGCTGCGCTCAGCAAAAATCACTTCAAGCCCTCCCTCGAGCGAGAGAGCCTTGACCGTCTCATTGACCTCCTTCCAGCAATGCGGAGCTCCCAGCGACGAGCGGTACCGGAACATGCCTCTGGTGGATGCATGTAGGTACGCCTCGGCGCTGACCATGAGTGGCTGCACCGCCATCCCATCAGTTCGCCTCACGTTGGGAGCGCCCCCCGTTGGCTCTACGTTGCGCGTCAGCACGTGTGCCATTGCCTTGCGGCCCGAGCTGGCAATGTAAGCACGCGCACCCAGCGGGCCGGATGATTGGCATCGGGTTGCGGGCAAGAGAGCCCTAGCCCTGTCGGAGTGGGCTGGAGTGCAACTTCGGACGCGTCTACACTGGCAGTCACTGCCCAAAACTCTGAGAGCGGGAAAACTTGCCGCGTGCGTCCGCTTCTACAGACCACTGCTGACCATGCCGGACCCCTGGGAGCATTACTTTGCGGACGTCTACGGCCAACAGCACGCCAAGGTGCTTGCGGCAGACCCTCCCTCGCTCGGCTGGTACTACCTCTCTGCGCCCTTGGCCAGGCCCGTGAAGGTGTGGTACGTGGGATGGCCACAGGCCGCGTCCTCGAGTAATCTGGAAGGGGTCTTCACCAAGATCCAAGCCGGCGACGGCTTTGTGAAGCTGTACGAAGAGCTCGGCTTCTTCTTCGTATCGGCGGCGGAGCCGCGCGCAATGGTGATGCGAGGCGGTACGCACTGGGTCGAGGTGCTCCGCCTTGCACGCGGGAGCAAGGCAGCAGGTAGAGGAGCACGTTCCACCGCCCTGTGCTCGCTGCACGAGAACGACCGCACCGGCGTTTGGTACTATGCCGCACACGGCTCTGGCTTCTACCTCGACCTGGGACGGGTGTTAGACCATACTTGTTCGCATCCTCCGGAAGGAGCCCAGCGTGGCGTCGCACGAAATGCCTCGCTGGATTCTTTGCGGCTTCGGTGCGACGGGAGAGAGGACGGGGAGCGGTGTCAGGCGCGGGAATGCATCGACCCGACGCTCAACCTCAACGTCGAGAGCGGTAGCGGTGGCATCAGCACCTGCGCCGAACGCAAAAGATGGAGCTCCGGCGAGTTGAGCGACGTGAGCCCTCCGATGCTCGCCTCTCTCAGCGCGCAGGCACTGCTACACCGGACGCCTCGCCTCTCATCAGCCGAGCGGCTCGCCCTCCCGTTTGAGAGCCTCGTGAGGTGGCCACCAAGAGTGTACCGCTCTATGTACCGCAACCTCTCTCGCACGGCCAACCTCAAGGAGGTTGTTGACCTTCGGCCGCACGGGACTCCCGCCTGCACCAAAAACGCAACGGCCGTTACGGGGTGGACGTGCGCCTGGTGCGACCGGCTCGACACCCTGCTGCCGTGCGGTGGCGCCTGCCCACAGGCCAGACCCCCGCCTTCGATCCCCATCCCCCGGCGCACTCCGCCGTGCGGCGCCTCCACTCAGTACATACGAACGGGATGGGAGGCCTCGGGCGGCCGGTGCGCTGAGTGCTCGAATGACGCCCGGCGCTGGTTGAATTGTGGCCCGAGGCAGGAGCCGTTCGCGGCGCACGCCAAGTCGACCACACTCTTCAACCGGACGTGGCCCGCCTCTGTGGTGGGTCGGTGCTTGCACGCCGACGGCTCCTACTCGAGCCTGAGGACACCCAGCCTCCAGCTGATGCTAGCAGAGGTGCGAGCGCGCGGCGCCAGAGGCGAGTGCCCGCAGGCCTACTTTTGGTGGCCTCCGGAGGAGGGGGTGAGAAGGCGGTAGGCACGAGGTTTTTTTGAGTACATGAAGAGTCGTAGACTAGTACACGGCTCACTACGGTAAGGTAAGGTAAGGTAAGGTAAAGCCGTAAGGTAAACTTCTCCACACACACGAGGTGGTGGGGCAAGGGGGGGCAACCCTCGCGTCTCCACGTCTGACGACAGGAGCCCCACGGCGGCATTCAAAGTGCAAGGCAGAAAGAGAGTGAAATGAAAAATGTAATCGTTACATACTCCTATCTCAAAGCTCACTGTCACAAGGCGGGGCAGCCCCTCGCCATGGGCGGCAACAACACGGACCCCTCCACCTCTGCCCCGTCGCTCTGCCGCGTGGAGCGGAAATGGCCGCACTCGCTGACGACCACGCGGTGGACGGCCCCCACGAATGTGACGAGGAGCGCCTTGTCCGCCTCCGCCTCCGAGAAGGACTTTGACGAGGGCGGCTCGGGGGTGTACTCCCCGAAGCCCCACGGAGTAGACAGCAAGCCGCCGCCTGCTCACAGCTGCAGCCGTGAAGACCGTCAAGTCACGGGCAGCGCCGTCGCGGAGGAGGGCCGGGCCGCCAAGGAAGGCCATCGGCGGAACGCCTGCCCACGCCCAGGGCCCCCTGCCGCTCACCTTGAGGACGGCTGGGTGGGAGGCGTGCCCCGGGTCTGCCCAGCCTTGCGCGCGACGCGCGGCTGCCTGCGGGTCGGGGTAGGGTTAGGGCTAGGGTTGGGTTAGGGTTAGGTTTAGGGACAGGGCAAGGGGTAGGGTCAGAAGGCTGCCTGCGGGGCGAGGCAGGGTTAGGGCTAGGGTTGGGTTAGGGTTAGTATATAGGGATAGGGGTAGGGTCAGGGGTAGGAGTAGGGTTAGGGCGAGGGTTGGGGTTGGGGTTAGTTTAGCTCGGCTGCCTGCGGGTCGAGCTCCCCCTTGCCTGTTCACAACAGTAGCTGTGAAGAGACACCTGTGGCGACGCCGGCAGATCGGGCTCTCGCCCTTACCCAAGTCCGAGCCGAGCAAGCCTCCGCGCGGGTAGGTGAAGGCGGACGGCGCAGTCGCCGAGTCGAATGTGAGCGCGTAGCTCTTCCCTCCGGCGCAGAGCGTGAGCTGCACAGCCCGCGGCCCGTCCGCCCGCCACGTGCCGCGGCCCCACTCGCTCTGCACGCGTCCGCGCGAGAAGAAGAGGAGGCCGCGGTGCCCGCCAATCACCCACGGCCCCGCCAGTGGAAGAGCTCGCTCCAGCTCGCTCATCGCAGAGCCGCCGCCGCCGCCGCCGCCGCCGCCGCCGCCGCCCCAGTCGGAAGTGCCGCCGCCAAAGCGGCCGCCGTACGCCTCGCCGAGCTGCTGCGTGGCCTCGTTGAAGGCGCGCCACCAGACCTAACTCGTTGAGGATCGATGATCACTTCTGAACTCGTGCGTGGCCTCGCTGACCGCTCGCCAGCAGCACCCACGCGCACTCGAGCGCACAGTGCGGGGGCGGCGCCAGCTGCTTCGGAGGCAGGGCGCCAAAGTAGTGCCGCTTGTCGAGCGACCACTCGCCTATGCGACGGCGGGCGGGAGGCTCCTCGACGGCTCCCGGCCGCGGTGCGGGCTGCGCCTAACGAGACCACTCTCCGACAGCGCCGACGACGGGCACTCCGTCGACGGAGTACTCGACGCCGAAGGTGTAGTGGTAGATGTACGGGTCCTGAGTGAGAAGGAATGGCTTCCTCGTCAATAGCCAGCCATGAGTCATGTGTGTGGTGGCAGATGCACGGCTCCTGATGAAGAAGTAACAATGAATCATGCTTGGTTCACAGCAGGTGTAGTGGTAGACGCACGGCTCCTCGGCAGTGAGGTTCTGGCGCCACGACGCGGAGGGCTCGATCTGCAGCTGCTGCCAGACATAGTTCTTGACGCCTAATCAATCGATCATCAGTAATAATGAGGGGTCGATCTGCAGCTGCTGCCAGACAGAGTTCTTGACGCCAAGCGCGGCGCACGCGATGGAGTAGCCCCACATCTCGAGCACCCACCTAATTAATGGTTAATCAATACTTAATCGGGCCTCATTAACTCTTCATTAGCCCCACATCTCGAGCACCCACCCCAGCGCCGCGTCCGCCTCGCGGTCCCGCTTCAGCCGGACCGACAACTCGAGCCATAGCGGCGCCAGCCGCTTGAGCGTGTCAACGTGCATGATGGCCGGCGACGGGCCAACCGGCTGCACGTCGCGGTGGTCGCCTTGGTAGTATCGCCGCACGACCGCCGCCTGCCTCTCCGGCGCGGCAGACATGTACGGGAAGAAGAATGCCACGTTCAGCGCCGGGGTCGCTCGGTTGGGCAGATCCCGCAGCAGGATGTGGTCTGTCTCTGCAATGTAGACGTAGTCCTCAGGGACCATCGCCCGCCACGCGTCCGTCTTCACCATCTGGGCGATCGTCCAAGGGCGGTTGATCACCTGGATAGGGGTAGGGGTAGGGTTGGGGCTGGGGTTAGGGTTGGGGCTGGGGTTAGGGTTGGGGTTGGGGTTAGGGTTGGGGTTAGGTTTACGGTTAGGGTTGGGGTTGGGATCTGGGTTAGGGTTAGGGTTAGGTTTACGGTTAGGGTTGGTCACCTGGAAGCCCCGCGTCTGGTCCGAGCCGGCCTGCTCGACAAGAAGGAATGACTGCATGAATGAATGAACGAGTGAACGAATGTTGACTGGCCCACGCCGGCCTGCTCGAGAGGAGCTCATTGGTTGATTGATTGCGTTAATTCACGACTCGGTGAATGAATGAATTGCTGCTGGCTGGTCCGAGCCCGCCTGCTCGACGACGATGGTCGGGATGGTGTCCATCAGCGAGTCGCCCCTGCCGCCCGCTGAGGCGAGGATGCGCGTGAACCTATGTCGTCAGTTACGCCAATAGGAGGGCGGGAAGGCGGTGTGTGCAGTGTCTTCAGAGCACCGCGTGAGTACGAGAAAGACGAACGCAGTGAATGCAGTTGAACACAGTTGAATGAGTGTCCTCTCGAGCGCTGGTCGGGAGACAAGAGCACATCTTCCGCTTCTGGGGCCCTGCACCCGCTCATCTCGCTGCACGGGTTTGCGGCGACCACCTGCGCGAGATCCGCCGAGATTGAGAGGGAGGTAGAGGGGAGAGCGGGTCGCCGCGCGCGGGTCGGCGGCGTCCACGAGTGCAGCCGAGGAACGATGAGCTTTTGGGAGACTGGGTAAACTGGTGAGACGGAGTTGTGCGGAGCCGGAGCATGCCGTGGCGTACACCACCTTGCGGTAGTGGTAGTGCATGATGCGCGTCTGCCACTCCTGGTACAGGCTTGCCTGCGCCGTCAGGAGGACATGGAACGGGCGGCGGCCCGGCGGGCAAGCCTGTCCCGGCACGACCCTCTTTCGCCAGCGCAGGTCCGACGGGTCGGCGCTCTCAGCATCCGGGACCGGCAGCCAGTTTGGAGACCCGTCCTCGAGCTTGGTCGGCGAGAGGGTGGGAGGCGGGTAGCGCGCCGCGTGGTCGTCGTACGCTGCGCGCCAGGCCGCGTCGAAGCGGGACGGGCCGGAGGGCCCACCGCTGACCGTAGCCGAGTCGAGCAGGCGATTGTAGACTGCCATTCCTTCGCGGTGGGAGAGGCCATGCGGCATGGCCGTGGAGGAGGCGGCGGAGGCTTCGGAGGAGTTGGCGGCAGAGGCTTGGTGGGCCGTGGCCACCGCCGGCACGACAGCCGCTCCGCGCCCGGCAGCGTCACTGGCCTTGTCGGCAGCCGCGGGCGTGCCGACACTGCCGCCGTGCTGCGCTGCAAGCCGCATTCTCTCACGGCTCGCCACGGGATCGTGAACTGCGTGCACGTGAAGGTGGTGTGCGTGGTGCACGAGCGCCACGAGGACGAACGGAGCAAGGCCGAGGAGGATGCGGCCCAGCCGGATCGGAGGCATGATGTCTCCACCCGTCAACACGACGACCGACAGCGCCGGTCACTTTCGAGCAAAGAGGAGACGGCCAGCGGCTCCAAGTGCTCCAAACAAACGGGGGGGGAGCGCCCCCTTTGGGGCGGGCGGGGGGGGGGGTTAGGACAACACCGCCGCCACCACACACCCCACAGGGTGGTGCTAGCCGAAACTCCAATCTCTCGTCGCAGTCTCTCGTCTCGCAGCGACCTTCCACCGGTCTTCCCACTCTCTCTCGTGCCAGCCAGCAAAATGAGCCTTCCCCGGGTGCAGCCTTCGGTCTGAGGGAGGGTGTAGAGGATGTAGAGTGTAGAGCGCTGTAGAGATGTAGAGATGTAGAGCGCTCTGGAGCGCTGTAGAGCTGTAGAGCTCTACATCCGCCGCGTGACGAGGCGCCTCCGTTGTAGAGCGCAGTCTCGCCAGCCGAGGCCCGTGAAGAGGCGAGCCTCGCTTGAAGCGCCTCTCAGGGCCATGGTCTCTACACCGACTGCGCCGCCACAGCGGCGTGCGAGGGCTTCAGCTACAGCGAGAGTGTGGGCGGCGGCACGTCGTTCTGCGTCAAATGCAACAGCAACGACGCGAGCGCTCTAGACGTGGACGCGTCGATGACACACTACGCCATGTGCGACCCGCCGGGCTCACCACCCGCGCCGCCGTCGCTGCCGCCGCCGCCGCCGCCACAGCCGCCGCCCTCGCCCCCGTCTATAGTGCAAGGTAATCGTGTCTATGACAGGATCTCGGGCCCAAAACACCGCCTGGATGTCAGTTTTAGAGCTAGGGGCGATGCCGCCGCGCGATCACTTCCGCATGGGATCATTGGGCAGTCATTCTCCTCTTTGACGCCACGTCATGGCCTCCTGGACAAGTATCCCGACGTAGGCAATTTTACAACCGTGGCCATGGCTGAGGGTGCAATCGAGGGGGAGGCTGCTTTGTACGAGATGAGGTCCCCATATTCTACCCACTTTGCCTTCTCACGCTTCGACGAGCAGGACGCCGCTACGCATCTGGCTTTTGCATCTGCTTTGCAGCGAGGGTCCACTGCAAGTGTCCTGGACCTAGCATCGGCCTAGCACGTCTACCGGCACGCCGACGGCAGCAGGTGACAGGCTGCTTCACTCATATCGCCGGCGTCGGCGAGGGAGTCGCGTGGATGGCAGACATGTGGGCGCGCGTGCATGCAGCTTGCAGGCGACGGGGGAAGGCGGGCGCGCTCTCCGGTCCAAGCGTCCGTGTTCGCACGGCTCACTCACTTACTCAACACTCCTCACTCCCCTCGCTCCACTGTGGCTGGCCTCGTGTCCGCGTCCGGGGCACCTTCGTGAGTTAGCATTGAGTACTTGCGCATTTGTAATTCTTTTTTGGCTCCCGTGGTGTACCTGTGTTAGTGCCAGTGCGCGCCAGTCCCGTGCCCCGTGTAAAAAGAAAGAAAGAACAGACAACCCAAGGGAGGGATGCCCCGTGTTGTGCGAGGCCGAGGGAGTTTTGTTGTAAAATTCTTTTCCATGTTTTCCATGTTCCTCGGCGGCTTCGGGAAGGGCGTCCGCGCTCTTCTTCGCACTTCGGCAGGCGGCGAACCAGCTGAGTAACAAACTTTCGCACGCTCAGCACCTCGATGAGGTCACATGGACCACCAAGAACTGGCACGGGCTGCAGATGCAGCGCTTGTCTGTCGTCCTCCACACCGCCGTGGCGTGGCAGACGGTGAACGAGCTAGCGTGCGGGGACAGCGGCATTGTGCACGGTGCTAAGTGCATTGCCGCTCTTAACGGAGTTGGGAATAAATTCTTTTTCCGAGTGGACGGGTGCGTTCCCACCGATGGCGCAGCAGTGCAAGTTCTTCGCACAGGGCCGGTGCAACAAGGGCGCAGCATGCCCCTTCCTCCACGACACCGGACGCTCCTCGATGGACCTCGACGACCCCGCCGCTTCAACGCCGCCGCGCCGCGTGGTGGGCGAGCGGCGTGCGACGGCGGATGCGACGGTGAGCCAGGCGACGCGGTCCTTCGCGATCGACTGCGAGTTCATCAAGGTCCGCCAGGGGAAGGGCGAGACGTTGCAGACGTGGGAGGTGACCGTCTCGGTCGGTGTGGTGTCCGAGGAGCTCGAGACGATCCTGTACGCACGAGTGCAGGCGCCGCCGCGGACCCAGGTCTTCGACGACGCGTTTGCCCGCACCCAGGGCAAGCTCGAGCCCGACTGGACCCTCGGTGTGCGGCTGGAGGTGGCGCAGGTACGGCCCACAGCGAGATGCAGCCGAAGTCTCTCCAAGAGATCACCGAGATACAGCCGAGACACCGCCGAGATCTCGCCGAGAGACAGCCGAGGTACAGCCGAGACGCCGCCGAGAACGTCCCGAGGTGTGGCGCAGGCGCTCGTGCGTGGCCTTCTCGAAGATGGCCAGTCCCTCCTCGTCGGCTGGCAGATCGCAAAGGACCTCGAGGGCTTGCGGCTCGGCGAGCTATAGCACGGAGATGGCCGAGAGGCAGCCGAGAGGCAGCCAAGAGATGGCCGAGAGGCCGCCGAGAAGCAGCCGAGAGAAGGCCAGAGGGGCAGCACTAAGAAGCGAAAGCTTTTTTTATCAGGCGAGCTGCGCAACCACGCGCGCGCCCTCAACCTCTCGCAGCTAGACGAGATCACCCGAGGTTGCACCCGAGATTACGCGAGATTAGGCGCGCGTCCTCGACCTTTCGGAGCGGGCCGTCGCCGCGGGCTAGTGGGTGTGAGGTGTGTGTGGAAACGGTGACACCATACACAGGAGCGGATCGTCACCGCGGGCGGCAGCAAGTGCCAGCTCAGCGAGGCGCCGGGCTCAATCTCGGCGCAATCTCGGCTCCACCTCGGCTGAATCTCGGCTCAATCTCGGCTGCACCTTCGATGTACCTCGGCCGTACCTCGGCTGTACCTCGGCTGTACCTCGGCTGTACCTCGGCTGTACCTCGGCCACCTCTCGGCCACCTCTCGGCCACCTCTCGGCCACCTCTCGGCCACCTCTCGGCCACCTCTCGGCCACCTCTCGCCATCTCTCGGCTGTCTCTCGGCTGCCTCTCGGCTGTTCAGGCGCACCGCGCCGTCTTCTCGCGTGAGATGCTCGCGAGACGTCCCTAGAAGCCAAAACACACACCTTTGGTATTCCGACCAGCGCTAGCGAGGACATGGGCCCCGTGCTGTCTCCGGCAGCACCACCGTCGTATTCGCTGTCCTCGCAGCCTAGACATCTCCGCACGGTGGTGCATCATTGCTGTCAGCAGCGGTGCGTCATGATGATAAGAGTCCTATTTTTAGCATGGTTTTGTTGTTAGTACTGTCAGTATTGCCGTTTTAGGCGCACGACGCGTGCGACGACGCGAAGATGACAATGGAGCTGTACAAGCACTGGCGGCGGCAGGGCATGGCGCCGATCGCGCTGCAGCTGGACTACGTCCACTGGCAAAAGTTATCAATGACTGATAATGAATAGTTTCTAACGACTAGGTGGTACTACGTCCTGTGGCAGACGTGTTAATAGCTTATGACTAGTGGTCAATAATGAGTGATTAGGTGGTACTACGTCCACTGGCAGAAGGTTGCGCCGCAGCTGTACGACGTGCTGCGGTGGGACCTTCTTCGCCCAATTACGAATTCGTAACTGACAACCTAGCAATTAATCATTAGGTGCTGCGGTGGGACTTGCTGCGCCCCGAGCGGTGCGACCGCGACACCTGCAAGGAGGACCAGCCTCGCGGGCGATTGTGATTAGTCGGCGAGTCATTGACACCTGCTAGTAAGTAGGAGGAGGAGCAGCGCGTGGCCGATTATTATTGAACAACTTTGGGTAGTTGAGATCTCCTTATCAATAGGAGGAGGACCAGCTTGTGGATGCGCACGGCGGCGGCAGAGAGTACCGACTCCGCTTCCGGCGTCGGACCGCGTGGCCTACAACTTCAAGGAAGGGCTAGTAAGTCAGAAGCAAGAATTGAAAATCAGGCGCGCGTCGGACCGCGTGGCCTACTTCAACCTCGCCAAGCGGCGAGATAGAGCCGAGATTGAGATGTGCCGAGGTGGAGCCTACTTCAACTTGGCCAAGCGGCGAGATAGAGCCGAGATTGAGATGTAGCCGAGGTGGAGCCTACTTCAACCTCGCCAAGCGGCGAGATAGAGCCGAGATTCAACAAGTGGCGCCGGCGACAGGACCGCCCCGAGAGCGTGACGCGATTGCGACCTCCAGAGCCGGTGGGTGAGCCCTGCAACGGCGGGAGGGGTAGGGCTGTCTCGGAAGAGCTCGAGGGCGCAACCACCCCCACCCACGATTGCGAAACCAGGCGCCTCACGAACGACCAGCGGGCCCAGCCGCGCGACGCGCCGCCGATGGACTTCCCCCAGTTCCTCGGAGACGTCGACGGGAGCGTGGCCTTCCCTGTGTGCACGGCCGTCATCTACGAGCAGCCGCGTTGACGCGCCCCTTGCCCCTCCGACGGACGCCCTTAAGGGCTGACAGCCCGAGTAAGCAAAGCATCTGCTCTGGTTCGCGCGGAAATAGCTTGAAAGTGCGCGCGGTGTTGTTTCTGAATTCTGTGAGCCAACCCCGCCAGCGGGCACAGCCCCGCGCCCTCTGACCAAAGAATTTCGCGACGGCGCATGGGGGCGTTCGTCGCTTGCGGCAACACGCTGCCCCACGCGCCCGCGAGACGGTTTGGGCGTGGAGGGCGGGGACAGGGGCGGGAGGGTGGGGAGGTGGGACCCGCGGACGGGGTCCGGGACCACCGGGACGGTCGAGGCTGTCAAGGGCCAGTACACACGGACGCAGAGGGGAAGTGCCGTGTGGAGGCGCTGCTCTTCGAGGAGTTCGGCGCAATGAGCGCGGGGGTGGAGGAGCTGCTGATCCGGGTGGCTGAGGTGGCGGGCCGGAAGCTCACGTGGTGGCAGTACGACCAGACGTCGTGGTCGGCGCGCGAATGGATGCCGTTTGCGCTGCAGCGACTGTCGGTGCAGCTCTGGGTGGCGCTCGCGGACGAGGCACAGCGCGCCATTGGTGCGGCGTCACGCGGCCGCGAGGGACCGCGGGGGAATGCTAGTGGGATGGGGGGCTCTGAGGGGAAGGGAGCGGGGGGCGCCCAGTAGGGCGCCGGCACCCCAGCGTAGAGGGCGTCGTGTAGCCCTCCTTTTGCTAATAACAAAAGAAACGAGGCAAAAAGAATTTTACAACAAAACTCCCTCGCACAACACTGGGCACAGGACAGGGCACGGGACTGGCAGGTACACCGGCAAAAAGAATTTCGCGAATTTGCTCGGAAGCCTTCAGATGTGGGCCTCGATCGTCTTCGCCGCCGTCGGGCTCACTTCGCCGGTCGCGCCGGCACGCCACCTCACTGCTGCGCGGGCTCCCGCGCCCGCGGCGCAGTTCGGCTGGGGTAGGCCCCAGGCCGCTCCCAGTGCACCGCCGCCGCAGAACGCACGCGACGCAGACTTTGCGCGGCGGCAGGAGAAGCTTGCGCAGCGCCAGCAGACGGCCAAATCGGCGCCCAAGGGGCAGGTCGAGGTGACCTTCCCGCAGAAGGGCAACAAAGTCGTGTACGCGCAGCAGGGCGACAACATCGGCAAGGTTGCGGCGAAGGCCGGTCTGCGGATCAAGTTCGACTGCAAAAACGGACGCTGCGGCACGTGCCAGGTGCGCCTCAACGGCCGCGCGGCCGCCAAGGTGTGCCAGGGCGCGACCATTCCCGGCGGAGCCACGCGCAAGCTCAAGATTACGCTAGACAACCCGTGAGCGGCGAAAACCGGCGTCGGCGGCGGCGGTGTTGCGCGGGTGCGGCACTTCTGGGGCGTTGGGCTGGGAGCGGGGTATAACCGCATCCTCCCTCCTCGCCTCGTGGTGCTTTGTGGGCTGCTCGTCGAGCATAGAGTCTCTTGCTGCCGCGTACGCAAGCCGAGCCGCGGGGTATAACCGCATCCTCCCTGCTCTGACTCTCGCGCTGTGGGGCCCATGTCTGTGATGTGATCATTCCTTACAACCCAATATGTAGCCTACACCCACACAGAGAGCGGCACAGAATGCGAAAGGGGGTCCCCCGAGCGAGTTGAGACGAGAGGCACGAGGCTCGAGAGACGGGGCGGAGAGTCGAGAGTTTGTGTTTGACGAGAGAGAGCGGGGGCGGGCGCGCGCCCCGGACGCGGCGGCGAGAGGGCTGTGGGCTGGGCGGCCGAGACCGAGAGAGCACACCGCGCCACGACACGTGTAAGACGAGAGCACCGTGCTCGACCAAACAGTGTCCTTACCTGCTACAAGCGTACCAGCGACGCGCCGCACGAGCCGATCAGCGCATAAAAGACATCGTCTGTCAAGCAGCGCGCCCGGAAGAAGCGGATGCCGCCTCCGGGCAGCTCGCACTCGAGCTGTAGCGCGAGGCGGCGCCGGTTGTGCACCCTCGCCGCACGGACCACGCCGTCGCCGAACCCCTCGACCTCGTAGGCGCCGTCCACGTGCCGCAGCCGAGGGCGATGCCAGAGTCTGCCGCCGAGCCGGCTCTCTGGATGACGGGAAGACGCACACACGCCTCCATCCACTCCACTCAGAACACCGCAGACTTGAAAAGTGACAAGTGCGCGCGTCCCGTTCACACTCGTATCTGGCCTTTTCTCGGGGCCGCGCCTGCGGCGCGCCGTGGTTTCTTAGCTTTTTGCGGAAATCGCTTGGTAGGGTTTCTTAATGCCACGTTTTCTTAATGCCCGCAACCCACTGTACCAACAACAGTTGGCACCCGGAAAGTGCGGCAAAAAATAAGGAAATTGCGCGTTGCAAAACGTACATCGCGCGGCTCAAGAGCAAACTTGGCCGGTCGAGCTCCAGGGTGCGCCACGGCCACTCGCAGGTGCCGCTCACAGACCTCGAGTCTGTCTGGCGCGGCTACTCGAGTATGTCCTCCAACCAATCGGTGCGCCCGTGCGTTCGTTAGCTCTCCTCTGTACATGCTCCCCAACCCGTCGGTCTCGCTCGACACGGGGAGAGTACGTTCATGGGTTGCGCGAGCCGACTCGGTGTCAGTTGGAGGGATTTTGCGACTGGTTCACCTACTCGCCTGACGTGTTTCACACCTGCCTCGGGTACAAGAAACTAAGATTCTTATTGGGACTTTGATGAGTACTCCACTACTGCCGAAATGGTGTGGAGCAAAGGGGGGTTCGGATCGCTGGTCGAGCGACCCGGGGGATGCCCCGCGCGCCTGACCCAGGCGCGGAAACGAATCTGCGAGGCGTGGCCGCTCATGCGGCCCGATGGGGAGGAGGGGAAGACGTAGGGCGTGCTTGCGCGCCTTTCCGAGGCCCCTCCAACCCACCCGCGCTAGGTCTCGGGTTTGACGCATGGGGTCACTCCCGCGAAACTCGGGAACTAGCCGGGGCAGTCGGAGAAGGGGCAACTCCTAGGGCAACTCCGTGCACTGACGGTCGGCCGTCAGAAAACACGCCTCCGTGGCTCGGGTTACACCAATCCTCGCTACCCAACGCGGCCAAAGGATATCCACCTCGAGAACTGCGAGAAGAATTCTTTTCAGTCGCTTTTCTCCTGGCTCAACCCTATGAACAGCAACGCTGACGAGGGCGCTCTTCAGCTAGCTGCCACGCAGCGCGAAGCTGGTTGGGCAGCCTACCGGAAGGGGGCCTTCGGTGAAATGCGCGACGCATTCTCGGATGCCGTAAACACCTGTGAGAGTATCCCGCCGCCTGTGAGCACGGCGGCCAAACGAGCGCTTGCAAACTCGCTGCGCGGCCGTGCAGTTGCCCTGAACAAGAAGGGTGATATCGCAGCGGCGTCGCGTGACACCTCGCAGGCACTGCAGCTGCTTGCCGAGCCGGATCTTGCTGCTGCACCTGGCATTCAGCGGCTGCACGAAATGTGTGTGACGTTGCAAGGTCATTTGCGCATGCACGAGGGCACGCCACAGTATGATCCTGCAGCCGCGCTGCAGCACTTTCAGCTGGCACTAGCCATTGCGCAGGCTGACAACCGCTCAGAAATTGATGCAGCACCCAGCCAGCACCGCCTCGTCTCGGGGTCATCGGGATCAAAGCTTGACGTCACCAGTTCGCTGTCAAACATTGGTCAGGCTGAGTTGCACTTAGGCCACTACGCGCAGGCAGAGTCTCATTTGAGGCAAGTTATTGAAGGTTCTGTTGTGCCCGAACGTCTCTGCGTGGCTCACGGAGTGTTGGGATCAGTCTTTCGGCAGCAAGGCCGCTGGCTTCAGGCCATGGAGCATTGGCAGGAAGCACTCCGCCAGGCTCGTATGGCGGGCGAGGTGGATGCGGAAGCGGCATTACTGGCGAAAATAGCGCGTTACCAGCGGCGCGTGCCTGAACTGCAGGGTCAGCCAAGCGTCTACGCCGATCTGTCGAGTGCCCTGCAGCGTCTCGGTCGGACGCCTGATGCTGCTTGCAGTATTTGCATGGACGAGATGCATCTGGGCGAGGGTGTGATCATTCTCGAAACTTGCCTGCACGCGTATCATAGCGAATGCCTCGAACAGTTCTGGCGAACTCGCGGCTATGGCGGCGTCACGACAACGAACTGTCCGATGTGTCAACCATGAGCCATCCCTGCTATAAAGCGTGCCTCATGAGCCTGCTAGTGCAGGGCGTGAGTCATGCGGCGTCTGCTTTCGTATGCGCGTTTAACTCGTGAAACAATAGAAACAATAGACTCGTCAGAAAGAGGGAGGTGGCCGGTCCCGCTATGGATATGTAAGAACCACTAATGCAATTGTTGTGGCCACCTTACTGGGCTGGGTTTTTACAGTAGGCATTGTGGGGTTGGCACTCCCATCGACCCTCATGACCTCCTGCGGTCTCTGAGATGGACACCAGTGGGTGTGGGACCACAGCCAGGATACACTCGAAGGCTGGGTAAGCAGTAGAGGTCGATACTCGACGCGTCCCACATGGTCTGTGTCGCTGTCGGCACGCTGTCGACAGGACGTCGAGCGACACCGGTGGCAGTGCCACCCAGGAGTGGTCGGGCGGTCTCCCGTCATGAAAGAGCCACCATGTGATCCGTATGATGATTCCTGACAACCACCTCAGTCAACTTTCGTCACAGTTCCCGCTCTGAGAGGAGCTGCGGGTCAGTTCGACAGCTGGAGCTGTGTCGCCGGCGTGCGGCGGCCTGCCTCCGGAGGTGCCTCTGAGGTGGACATTTTTTGGTCACCGGGAGAGAACGCGTTCGAATTTTCACTCCGGAACTTCAACTCCGCACGCGCACCGGCCAGGGCTACAATAGTGCCAGTGAGGCGGAGGCGCGAGTCGGAAGGCCGCGACGGTCAAGTGTTTTCGTCATTTTCCTACTAGAGCAATTGGCCGGCGCCCCTTGGGCGCCGGACCCGCCCCGGGGGCGTGGCGTGTCTAGTGATGTGGCACGTCTAGAATAGATCAAGAGATCAGTAGTCAAATCAGAAAAGAGAGGTAAAGGAACACTCCGGGCCTTCGTAACCGAAAGGTGAGCTGAAGTGCTCAAGAGTATCTGCGTCGTACTTGAGATCGCAATCTAACAAATCGCTCGTGGCGGGTGTCTCGTGGAACGGTGCATTCATTAGCACCTCGTACGGCGACATTGCATTGATCACTCGACATAGATCAGACCGGATCTGAGCCTTCAACTCCCTAATCTGTGGAGGGTCGAAAATATGCTCCATAGAACGTTCGAGCATATTTTTCTTCCACTCTTTCTCGTCTTTCGCTTTGAGTAGCTCTTTGAGCTCGGCAACGCGAGCATGACCGTTGAAGAACCGTTGAAGGAGCGCGTCGTACGCATATTGGTAGGGCAGCTGTGGGAATCCGTCACAAGCTACGTCACCTTCTTTGATCTCTTCAACACTGAGCGATCGGAAGAGGTCTTCTGACACGCACCGCAGCCCCCGCTCCGACCTTCGGATCTCAAAGTCCGTGATTCCGTGTTCCAAAGCCGCCCTTGAATCCAATTCCGTACGTGGCTTTTCCAATTGAGATAATTCCGTATTCCAATTCAAAGCCCGTAATTCCGCAATCCTAACACGCACCGCAGCCAACCGATGCTCTTGCGGTCTCAACCTGTGCATGTCGAGCCATTCTTCCGGTGAAAATTCACTCCAAGGTTGTGGTGCATTCATTAGCACCTCGTACGGCGACATTGCATCGACTTCTCGTCGCAGGTCAGATAGTATCGACGCACTCAGATCCTCAATTTGTGAATTCAGCTCCTCGATCTGTTCCTCTCGGGCCTGCTCTCTCTCTTCTAAATCCTTGCGAGTGAACGAATAGTGGCTGCAGCCTCTGAGCATGGCTCTGAGCTCTGAGTCCCGCTCATGGCTACGGCACATGCGGTCCAGAAGCGAGTCGTACGCGAACTGGAAGGGCAGCTGCGGGAATCCCTCACACGTAATGTTGTTCTTTCGGATCAGATCCGCATCGAGTCTCCTGTACACGTCTTCTGACACACACCGCAACGGCCATTTGTTCTCCTTGCAGAAGGTTTGGTACCCCGAACTGGCCCGCCACTCACGCAAGAGGTCGTCCGTGAGGACCAAGGTGCCTGGTCGTTGATGAATTCCCCCCATGATGATGCAGAAATAGCTGCCTGGGACTCGTCGTTGCTCTTCAAACCAGTTCTGCATTGCCTCAGACTCATGAGTGATGCGGTCACTCGTCTCTGTCAACCTGGCCATCATTGGCTGTCCCTGCTCCATGTATGTCCTCCATGCAACATCGCGACGGTTGACCTTGACGATCTCCTCTCGTCCATTCAAGAGAAACACCCGAACTCCCTGCACCAAATGTCCATCGACGAACTCCCCGTCATGGAACTCTCCGTTGCTGAACTTGACGCATCCCCTCCCAGTGAACTCGAGAAATGATCCCTCCCGTTTCCAGTGGCCGTCGTAGCACCTCACGCGGATTTCGTCCGACCGGTGGTCTTCTTCGAGATACATTCTCGCTCCTCTGCCAAAGAGGCCTCGTATAAATACCTCGTCGATGAAATGCCGATCGAGATCGGCCTTCTTGGCTCCCATCTCCTGTAGCTTGACAATACGTTGCGCATTCTCCCGCTGAACCTGCTGCATATCGACAGGAATCTTGCCGCCGAGCGTTGACGGTGGCTCCCGTACGCTGTACTGGATGGTCGCTGACGGGGGCGGCCGTCTCCCGAGCACCTTCTCCCACGCACTCAAAAGACGCTCCCTGACTCCGCTGGCCGAGGAATTCAGCACCAACCAGGTGAGGTTGGCCAGCTGAAAGAAGAGTTGGATTGTCGGCGTCTTGAAAGACTGCGAGCGCGCTGAGCTATGCTGCTGCTGTCTCTGCTTCTCTCGCCGGTCGCCGTCGTCGGGCGGCCGCTGGCGTGCAGTGCGGTCTCGGCTCTGCTCATGGACCTTTTTCTGTGCCTTTAGGCGCTCTGCCATCAGCTTCCTGCGGGCGTCTCGCTCCTGCTCCCATCGGGCGTGATCGGCACTGAAGGCGGCCGCGTTCGCGTACGGCCTGCCCGGCCCGATTTCCTCCTGCCGTGGCTCGGCCCGAAGCTTGTCCGGCAGGGGAGGCACGTGGATGGTCGAGGGGCCGGCACCGGCCGACATGCATGGAGGGCGAACGCGCGACCAAATTTTCGGGCGGACAAACCGCGCGGGCTGCTACTTTCAATGATAGGGACTAGCAGGTTGGCTCGCTAGTCGCTCGCCGGCCCGCGCAGCACGCGCGGGCCTTTTTTGTGGTCGGATGTTGGTCGTCTCGAATTTGATCGTGGGCAGGGCGTGAGAAAGCTGGACGGCTCGGTCGATGCGAGCCACCAGCTCGTGAGCGACGGGCGCGACGGGTTCCTCGGCGTAGGCTTGGGCGTGGTGAGCAGCGCCGGCGAGAGAGGGACGGCATGCGGCTCCCAAACGAGCCGCACGGGCTTCATCTGGGCCGCCGAGGCCACCTCCTTGGTCGCGGTGGCGGGCGTGAAGGCGAGGTGGGCCGAGGCAAGCGCTGAACGTGCCGTGCCGCCTTGCGCCCCTGAGGAGGGACGAGTGTGTGGGGTGCCACGGGCGGGGGGGAGCGGTGAGAGGAGAGCGGTGGGCACCCCCACGAGGGGCTGCGCTGACGCCGCCTGCCACCCCACGCACGCCACTGACGCTGTGGGGGCGGCACGATCGAACGCGCTGGTCGGGCGGGCCGTCTGAGTCGCCCAAGCGGTGCTCTGCCGGCCGGTGGACGCGAGGGTGGCCCAAGAGGGCTCAAAGTACGGAGCCGATACCCGGCCGTCCCGGACGCCTGGCACGCGGGCCAATGGTCCAGCGGTCCTGTGCATGGCTGGAGCGAAGGAGGGAGAGCTCAGGAGGGCGACGGGGCAGGGAAGGGGGCGATGCGATGCGGCGAGGTCTAATCGGCGGCGTGGAGAGAGGAGGTGCCAAAAGGCGACTATAAAGAGGCCTCTACGGGTGATATAGTGCGCCATGCCGGCGGGAGAGGTCTCTCACCGCCCCCCGGGCCGTCTCGAAGGGCCGTGCAGCCCACGCCACGAGGCGCTGCTGGCGGGAGCCTGGAAGGACTTGGCCTCGTTGCACCGCGCCGCGTTGATTCGCGACCACCGTCGGCCGCGGACGGCGTCGGCGTGGCGGCCGCGGGCGCTCGCGAGACGCGCCGCTCTGCGCTGGTTCGGTTCGTTCGACTCGTTGTGCCGCCGCACGCCCGGCGGCCGCGGGTCCCAGAAGTGGTTGCGCGGGCCTCTTCCTTTCGGCCGCGGGACGGCGTCGGGCACGTCGTCGGTCGCAACAGCGGCGCGGCGAGCCGTGGCACGTCGTTGCTGGCGCTGGTGGTTTGAGGTCGGCATCGTCCAGAGCTCGGTCGACGAGTCGAGAGCTTCAGCTGGTTCGGTGCCATGTTTGTGCGGAAAGTGGCAAATATATCTCTTTGATTTCAGCCTTTCGGTGTAATGAAACAACGCAAGGCGGACATGGCATATCGCTCTCGGGCCCACAGACATCCCGCACATCCGCCGCCCCCGCGCGCGCCCTACCCCGGCCGGGAGAAAGGGGAGTGACAGTATGGAGAGAGGACTCTCTCTCTCACAGTATGGATGGGACGGCGACAGACGAGATACCTCTCACTCCATGTGCGAGAAAGAACGCAGAGAAAGGACTGGCTGGGGGTGGTCCGGACAAGGCACAAGTCCGGCTCATGCGCCCCGAGCTGACCATCTACTCAGTACCGCACTGCGGCACGGCGCGTCTGAGGGAGATTTTTAGCAATACTTGTGTTGTTGCGCGTCTGTGCTAATCTGTGGTCTACTCGGCGCGCCACCCGCGAGGTTCGGTAGCGGTTCGGATACGCAGGCCTGCACTCCTCTTCCAACATGATTCCTTATTGGTTCTTAAAACGATCTCCCCCTTGCTTGCGGCGGCGGCAACCCCGCGATGAACAACTCTCGCCGGGGAAATCAGAGTGGATCGAACGTCCCAGAGCAGGCCTTTCTTACTCTACGGATGGGGGGTTAACGTGTCTCGTCCGCTCTCGTCTCACTCTGATGACAACTCTCTCTCTCTCTCTCTCTGCGGGTTCTCGTTCTTTTGTGGTTTGCCTGTGTGAGTGCCAGCGCACGCGCGCGCGCCGCTCGCTGGAATTCTTTCCCAACACCGACTTGCGCGCGTCCCTTCGCAATCGTTTCATTCTCCGCCAACCCACCCCAAGGCGATGGCCACCCCCGCCAGCATCGCCGAGGGGCTGGGGATCGACGGCGAGGCGGACAGGGACCTGCTCTGGCTCGCCGACAAGGCGCACGCGGCCGAGGCGGCCCTCGATCACTACACCTACCTCGCGACCGTCGCGCGGGTGCCAGAGTGGGCGAGCCCCGCCGACGCGGGCCAGCTGCTGCGGAACGGCTGGTACCGTGCGGTGTGCGCCGCGGCCTTTGAGGCCAAGGAGCCGGGAGAGCTCTCCGTCCAGCAGGGCGAGGAGGTCCTCGTGAACGGCGACCTGCTTCCGCCTGCGGGCTGGGCCAACGTTGCCCGCACCTCGGACCCGTCCACCGCCGGGCTGGCCCCTGCAAACTACCTAGTCGCCGGGGACGTGCTCGTGAGCAGCAGCGTCGACTTTGACCCCCTCGCCAAGGGAGACCTCACCCTTCGCCGGGGCGACCAGATGCTCGTGAGGCCCGGTGCGCTGCCAGCTCGAGCTTACTGGTTTGCGCGCTGCAACGGGCGGCGGGGCTACGCGCCGCGCTACCTGCTCGATCCGTCGTGGCGAGCCCAAGGGAAGATCGCGGTCTCGCTGATCTGGGCTCGCTACAGGCTTCACCGCGACCGGTCGAACGCGCCGGCCGCGGCGCAAGCGCGCGCTGCGACGACGGTGTCAGCCTTTTACCGCGGCCGGCAGGCCCGGTGCCTCCCAAGACCAAAGCCACTCAGCCACGCCTCGTCTGACATGGCGGGGTCGTCGGAGGACGTGCGCCAGCGCCAGCGCCAGCGGGCCATTGAGCGGAGATGCGCCGTCGCGCTCGGCCTCGACCTCAAGAGCCACCGCGACCTCGCGTGGCTCCCGCAGCTCGCGCTCCAGGCGCGGCCCCCATGGCCCGACGGCGCTGCAGACGGCCGCTTCCGCGCGCTAGCAGCGGCGGCGCTCGAGCCGGCGTGGCATCTGGACGGCACAGGGCGGCTCATGGGCAACGGGTGGTATCGGGCCACGGTCATTGCTCCCTTTGACGCCCAAGACCCCCGCGAGCTCTCCGTGGCGGCAGACGAGCGGATCTACGTGAGCGCAAACGACCTCTCCTCGGGCGGTTGGTGCACCGCAGCGCCCGTCGGCGAGAGCGGATCGCGCGGGCTCGTGCCGCGTGCCTACCTCGTGCCAGATGATGTCATCGTGACAGCTCCCGTCGCCTGGCAAGGCTTCACGCTCGGCGATCTGCCCTTCTCCGAGGGGGATCAGCTGCTTGTGCGGCCAGGGGCTCTGCCTTCACGCGGCTACTGGCTCGCAATGCTTGGCAGCCGCCGAGGCGTTGTCCCTCGATTCGTCCTCGACCCGTCGTTCCAGGCCCAGGGCGGCCTCGCCGCGACAATCATCTGCGCGCGCTTTCGTGGGCATCGCAGCCGCAACCCGCACGACCGGCGGGAGGCCGACAACCTTGCGAGGCGGGCGACGGTCGTCTCCGCGTTCACTGCTACGTCGCAGGCACAGCCCAGCACCAGCGGCCCCAAGGCTAGCGAGCCGCTCTCCAGCGGGGCTGGCGATCCGATATCCGCCGTTCGAGCAGCCGCGTCAGTGCTCGGGATCGAGCTCGTCGTCGACCCAGACCTGCTCTGGATTGCCGAGAGAGCGCTGCAGTCGAAGCCGCCACTGCCGGACGAAGCCACTGTGGAGAAGTTCCGCGCGCTCGCCTTCATCGCATCGAACCCCGAGTGGTCAGAGAATGGAGCTCCACTGATGCGGAATGGGTGGTATTGCGCCCAGATGATTGCCGACTTTGACTCGGCCGACCCGGCAGAGCTGTCGTGCTCGGCCCGCGAGGAGATCTACGTGTCGGGCGACGCCGTCGCTCCATTCGGCTGGCAAATGGTTGCGCGCGCCTCGGACCCGTCCAAAACAGGCCTCGTTCCGTCCAGCTATGTGCTGAGCGAGGACTTTTTCGTCGACGCCAATTGCGACTTTGACGGGCAGGGAGTCGGTGACCTGCCCTTCCGCACCGGCGACCGTCTGCTGGTGAGACCCGGTGCGCTTGTGGCACAGGGCTGGTGGCTGGCCAAGCTTGGCAGCCGCCGGGGCTATGTGCCGCGCTACCAGCTCGATCCGACGTGGCGGACTCAAGGACGACTCGCCGTCTCCATAATCTGGTCGCGTTTTCGCGCTCACAAGGGGTTGAGCGACGCCGCAGAGGCTAGCGCCCTCGCGGCCCTCGCGGGCGGGTGGGACCGATCGCAGCTCCCCGCCGCTGAGCGCCGGTGCTCGGCAGCCTTGGGAATCAATCTCAGCATCGATGGCGACCTGCTTTGGCTGGCCCAGCGCGCGCTCTCCAGCAAGCCCCGTTGGCCGGACGCGAAGACACACTCCCGCTTCGCTGAGCTGGCAACGGTGGCGATGACCCCGCCTTGGCCGGTGTCTACCCCGGAGACTCGCCTACTCCAGGACGGCTCCTACGAGGCGACTGCCATTGCGTCGTTTCTCACGGGGGAGGCTGGTGAGATGTCCGTGGCGGTGGGAGAGCGAGTCTTAGTGCGCGGCCTACCGCCGGCAGCACCCGCGGGGTGGGTCGTTGCCGCGCGAGAGGCGGACCACGCGGATGTTGGGCTCGTTCCCCACGCCTATTTGGCCGTTCCCGATGTGGCGGTTCAGGCCATCGCCGACTATGACGGCGTGTCGAACGGAGATCTGTCGTTCAAGTCCGGTGATGTGCTCGCGGTGCGTCCCAGCGCACTCGGCGCCCAAGGATGGTGGCTCGCAAAGATCGGCCAGCACCGAGGCTACGTGCCCCGATACGTGCTGGATCCGTTGTGGCGTCCTTGGGGGCGGCTGGCGGTCGCCACGATTTGGGCTGGCTATTGCGCCCACCGCGGCAGGCGATCAGGCGACACGCCGTCCTTGGCGGATGCAAAGAGCCGCACCATCCTCGCCCAGACAGAAGCCCTTTTGCGCCCTGCGGGTGGGGCGCATGAGACAATCGCAGCCGAGACAGAGCAAGCGGCGGTCGCCCCCTCTGAGCTCGAGCTATGCGCCATGGAGCTTGGTATCGACGAGCAGCTCGATGGCGACCTCATGTGGATTGCGCAAGCGGCGCTTCAGGCGAAGCCGCCGGTTGGCCCCTGGCCGAGTCTGGCCGCCATGGAGCTGTATGGCTCGCTCGCCGCGGTTGCAATCGAGCCTGACTGGCCGGCCAACCCCAGGACGGTGAGACCTGGCATGCCAGACGGCTGGTACCGTGCGATTGCGGTCTCGTCCTTTAACGCTGAGGACGACCGTGAGCTCATGATCGAGCAGGACGAGGCGCTCTACGTGAGCGGCGACGACGAGACGCCACCGGGCTGGGTCTTTGCCATGCGCACAAACGGGGCCACTGATGAGGGTGGGTTGGTCCCGCGCAGCTACCTTGCCGCTGAAGATGTGTCGGTCGTTGCGCCATGCGACTTTGAGGGAGTGTCGCCGGGTGACTTGCCCTTCCGCAAGGGCGACGTGCTCCTTGTGCGCCCTGGCGTGCTGCCCGCCGCCGGATTCTGGCTGGCGAAGCTTGGGGCGCGCCGAGGGTACGTGCCACGCTTCCTGCTCGATCCATCTTGGGTCGCAAAGGGGCGACGTGCCGTGCGTGTCATTCGTTCTCGTTTGACGGGGGCCGTGGAGGATGTTGGGGTGCAAGCGAGCGATGCAGCGGCAAAGATTCAGCGCTGGATGCGTGCTCGCCCCACACGAAACTCCGAGACGCCTGAGCCCCCGTGCAGTGATGAGGAGGCTGCCCGGAGGATTCAGGGCTGCTTGCGCCGAACATCGCGCCGCAGAGGACACGCCAGAGCCCAGCTTCGCCGCACTGACGCAGCAGCCGTCAAAATTCAACGGCGGCTGCGCGCGAGTCCGACATTGCGACGGCCTCTCGCTGCCGAGGCGCCGACGTCCGCCACGGGCCCCGTGCTTCTTCTCGTGCCATCGATATCGGCACCGGCTCCTGCTCCGGTACAGGCGCCGAGCCGTGCCACATCAGAAGCAGAAGCCAGGCCGACGGCGCCCGGGCCGGAGCCCATCACGGCAGGACTCGAGCCGCCGTGTCCCGCCGCGTCGGCCTCGCCGAACGGGCACCCGCATCTAGGCACACAGGACCTTTCGTGGCTGAGTGCACCAGATCTGGAGGAGATTCGGGCTGTGCATGAGCAAGCGGCCGCCCTGGCCATGCGCGAGGCGAAGCTTGCGACTCGCGAGATGCTGCAGGAGCTGCGTGAGAAGTACCGCGAGAAGGAGTGGCAGCTCGCCGCTCGCGAAGCGGAGCTCGAGGCTCGCGAGGCGGCGTCGCCAGAATTATCTCATCGTCCGCCCCCCGCCGCGTTTGCCGCGCACCGCTCCGCTCCGGCGCCTCCAACGACAGGCGCTCCTGTGATCGAGGCAAGCTGCGTCCCAGAACCTCAGGTGCAGAGTCCAGAGCCTCAGGTTCAGAGCGCCGAAGCTCCAAATGACGCCTCCACCGAACCAGCGGCGGCAGTGCTCGGCGTGCCGTCAACCCCGGTGGCACGTGCTGGAAGAGCAGAGGATATTCCCACGAGCCCCACGCGGGCAAAGGCTGGGCCTCCGCCTTGCGAGTCTGCTCTCGAGGAAGATGGCGACCCCTTGCCATCCATGATGACTTGGGGCATCCCACGCGAGCCGCCTGCACCGCTCGCCGCGTCTCAAAAGACGCCGCCTGCCGCCTTCACCGCGCCTCGCGATGCAATGCCCATTTCGACGGCATCGCGCGGGCGGAACGAGCCGGCACGGAGAGCCTCGTCTCAGGCTGTTGTTCTCTCGAGGGGGCGCAAGCCTCGCCCTCGGAAGAAGGCCTCTCCTGCCCGACGCTCGCCACAGTACGGCACTTCAAAGGCAGCCAATCTCGATTGGGCCGACGAGAGGTGGCAGAAGAGGTTTCAATCCTACCTACCCGATCGATCCGCAGCTGGCTTCTCCGACGCGACAGCCTTGCCCGCGGCGGGGAAATCGGCAATAATGGGCGGAAGCAAGCGGGGAGCGACTGCGACGAGGACCGCCATCGTGAGAGATGCAGCCACAGGGTTACTGACTGGCTTGTGAAGTCACGCATGCTGCTAGACGGTAGAGCCGTAGAGCGCTACGGCTCTAACTCTGAGAGGCCTACGTGGTTGAGGCTTGAGCGCTTCCTTTTCCGCAGCCGCGAGCACGGGGGAAGGGTGAAGGGAAGTTTTTCCCGAAGCCCGAAGTTTTTTGAAACCACTATCGGACCCTCTCGTCTCTATTCGACACAAGACAATATCACATGGGTCTGGAGGTAGCTATATCAACATGCACGTCTCTCTGTGCTGTGCCCCGCTGGCGTGCCGGCTCGTCCCCCTGCGCTTGGGTGCACTCGCCACTTGCCCGCCGAGCGGACTGCCGAGCGCCGCCCCTCGCGTCGCGTGGGATCAAGACCTGTGCCGCGGGGGGGTCGTGCGCATCGTGCTCATCGTTCGGATGGCAGCCCGTTCTGACGCCATGATGTCGCGCAGGGCTCGCCCCGCCATCGCCTCACGTGCCTCCTCCTCGGATCGGACGGGAGCGTTGCCCATCGCAGAGGTGCCCCTGTTTCGCCCCTCCGGCCGGCGCCCATCCCTCATGCGCCGCCTGCGCGCTGCCGTTGCCGGCGTCGAGGCCGGCCGAGCGGAGGCCGACTGCGCGCGGCGGGGTGCCGGTACAGTAGCGGGGCTCGCAGATGGCCGTGCAGATGCCGGCATGGGCGTGGGAGACACTCGCGCAACTCGCGTGGGAGAGACCCGCGCAACCCCTGGGCGGTGGTAAATGCCCCCAGGACCGGTACCGTGACCGGTGCTACTGCGCGGCCACTCCTGGCCGAGCTGGACGGAGGTGTTGCTCCGCCTCCCGCTGCCTGCCCGAGCTGGAGCAGCCGCGGGGATCGGGGTGGCGAGGATTGCGGCGAGGATGGCGTCGCCGCACGGCAGAAGAGCGCCGGGCTCGAAGCCGCGCTTGTGCTCCAGGAAGCGGCGAATCTCATTCAGAGTGAGGTCGGGACGCAGCTTGACCAGCGCCTCGGCGTCTGCGTAGATGGTCCGCTCAGCCTTCCAAAGTGCGAGCAGCAGCGAGAGCGAGCGCGCCGCATCTGCAGCCTGCGCCTCGGTGACGCCTGGCGCTGCAAAGCCGCCCGCTTCTCGAAGACCGTTGGAGACGGGATTGGTCTCGGCAATCTTCCAGACGTCGGCCGACGGTGCCGCCTCGGCGTCTGCAATGGCTCGCAGCAGGTCCTCGCTCACGAGAGCCTCCGGAGCGACGCGAAGCGAGCGTGCCCACTCGAATCTCCACCCCACAAGTCGCGGGTAGAGACGATCGCCGCCCTCGCTGCTGCGTGTGCCGTTCATGGGGAAAAGGCAGTCGCGAGGAGCGCAGCGCGCCTTTTGCTCGAGCACCCAGGGCGTGTCAAGATGGGGGAAATTTTCCTTTTCCCTCGTTCTTCTAGCTAAGAAAAAGAATTGCGAGGTGTCGGCGCAGGGGAGCTGTCGGAGCGAGCCCATGGCCGCTCTCGTGAGCGATCCCGCCGTCGACGAGCTCGAGGCTGCGCTCGAGCGCATCGTGACGCCGCCTCGCCACCGGATCGAGGACGACGAGCCTGCGGCCTTTGCCGAGCACGTCCTGTGTGGCGCGGCGCAGCATGCGTTTGCCGTGGACCGGCTGGTCGAGAGAGGCGTGACGGCCGTGGTCAACTGCGCGCCCGCCGGCGCGCACGACTGCCGCGCCATGTACGCAGCTCGCGGCATCGCCTACCTCGCTCTGGACGGCTGCGAGGATATCGCCGGCTACGACCTGTGGCAGCACCTCGACGCGGTCCTCGCCTTTGTCGAGGCCGAGACGAGCGGCGCGCGCCGCTCCGGCCGCGTGCTCGTGCACTGCTTCGCCGGCTCCAACCGCTCTGCCAGCTTTGCCATCGCGGCTCTTCTGGTGACGACGCGGGAGCCGCTCGAGCCGCTCGTCGCGCGGTGCTTTGCGCTGCGGCCCTTCATCCTCAAGAACAAGACCTTCCGACGGCGAGCGGAGAGGAGAGAGCGGCGCCGCAGTGGAGAGGAGTGGGCAGCCTGACCCGCCCGAGCCCGGCGCCGCGTCGCAGGCAGCTCGCGACGCTCGCGGTGAGGGAGGGCATCCCCTCCGCAGCCTCGCGCGACCGCCAGAAAGGCGCGGAGACGGCGGCGGAGACGGCGGCGGGGAAGGCGGCGGAGACGGGGGTGGAGGCGGCCGAGGCGGCACAGGCGGCAGCGGGTGCGGAGGCGGCGGCGGACGCGCCGTACGCGCTCGGCTCCAAGCTCGGACAAGGCGCGTTCGCCACGTGCTACGCCTGCTGCGTGCAGGGCAGCGCGGCGCCCCTCGCGGCCAAGGTGGTTGTGCGCGGGAGGTGGGTGTGGATCGGCGGCCGCTCCGTGCCTGGCGACGTCGCGGTCGAGTCGCTGCGGCGCGAGGCGAGGGCGCTGCGGCGGGTGGGCGAGCACGCGCACGTCGTCGAGCTGCGCGGCCTCCGCTCCGAGCCCGAGCGGGAGGTGCTGCTCATGTCGCTCGCGCCGGGCGGAGACCTCGCCAAGGTCGCGCTCGACTGCCCGAGCGGCATGCCCGCCGACACGGTCCGGCACCTGCTGCGCGGCTTGCTCGCGGCGCTGGCGCGCCCTGCGGCCGATGAAGGGCGGGTGGAGCCTGCGGCGGGGGCTGAGACCTCCTCCTCTTTCTCCC